TGAGAAGCAGCAGCCACACGAGCAGCCTTCCCCCATCCGAGCAGCAGCAGCCGCATGCAGCCCACACCCGTCTGAGGAGCAGTAGCCATGCGAGCAGCCCGCACCCATCTGAGGAGCAGCAGCCCCGCGAGTAGCCTGCCCAAGTCTGAAGAGCCACAGCCTCATGTGGCCTGCCACCATCCGAGGAGCAGCAGTGCCATGAGCAGCCCGCCCATGTCGGAGTAGCGGCAGCCCTGAGCAGCCCACCCCCACCACATGGGAGACCATATTGTGATAAGAAATTAATCTCCAAAATATATAGGGAACTCATACAACTTAACAAAAGGAAGAGAAACAATCCAATTAAAAAATGGGCAGAGAACCTAAATAGACCCTTCTCTAAAGTATACCTACAGAAAGCCAAGAGACATATAAAAATCGCTCAAGGTCACTAATCATCAGAGAGGTGCAAATCAAAATGACAGTGAGATATCAACTCACACCTCTCAGAATGGCTATCACCAACAAATCAACCAATGACAAGTGTTGGCGGGGTTGTGGTGAAAAGGGAACCCCAGTACATTGCTGGTGGGAATGCAGACTGGAGCAGCCATTGTGGGAAATAATATGGCGTTTCCTCAAGAAATTAAAAATGGAACTCCCATTTGACCCAGTCATCCCACTTCTAAGAATATATTCTAAGAAACCTGAAACACTCATCAGAAAGAATATATGCACCCCTATGTTCATAGCAGCTCAATTTACAATAGCTAAGACTTGGAAACAGCTTATGTGCCCATCAGCAGATGAGTGAATAAAAAAAACTGTGGTCCATTAACACAATGGAATACTATACGGCAGTAAAAAAGAAAGAACTCTTACCATTTGCAACAGCATGGATGGACCTGGAGAATATTATGCTGAGCGAAATAAGCCAGTCAGAGAAAAATAAGTATCACAGGATCTCACTCCTATGTAGACTCTAATAAACCAAGTAAACTGATGATCAAAAATAGACCCAGAGTCATAGAAGCATGAACAAACTGTTGAACCTCAGAGGGAAGGCAGGTGAGGGTAGGTGGGAAGAGATCAACCAATGAACTTGTATGCATGTATGCATAACCCATAGACAGAGGATGGCTGGGGAGGGGAGGGAGAGGACAGGAGCAGTCTGGAGGATGTTAATGGGGGTGCGGGGGAGAGGATCTATATAACACTGTCAACAATAAATATTAAAAAATTAATTGATTGATTAATTAATTAATTAGGAAGGGAGTACTTTTCTCACATGGAAAACAAGAATTACAATTTCACTCAAGTATACCACCACATGATTATAAATTGTTATCAAGTCAAGCTAGAAAAAAATTTTGTGTAAAAATGCATTAATTCTTGAACATAGAAACAAATAGCAATGAATAATTTATTAAAAGCTTTTGCTGTCAGCAGCTTTACTAACAGAAGCAATATTTATGAAATCCCACAGGACAATCTAACAATATAAATTATAATCAAAGGAGAAGAACACAAGACTAAGAATTCTTAATGAATCTTATAATATCAAAGCTATCTATATCTATAATTAAAGTGTAATATGCTAATTAGACCAATGTCCTTCCGGACGACCTGCTGAATGAAGCCAGGACTGCAAGGGAAGCCTGGTACTGGGTATCTGCTGGTGGCTAGAGGGAAGCATGGGTCCCAGGTGCCAGAAGGAATCCAGTACCAGCAGCCAGGGGAAGGAAAGCCTACACTTGCAGAATTTTGTGCATCAGGCCTCTAGTACATATATAAAAGGCTAAAATGCTAAGTGTCTCTCCACCCATCCGACTGGTCGCTATGACGTGCACTGACCACAAGGGGGCAGACGCTCAACACAGGAGCTGCATGACACACACAGAGAAATGGCACCACAGACCTGGTGCCAACAAAGCAACACCTGGCTTCCCCCAAGTGAGGCACAGGCTCCACCACCACCCTGAAGTGACAGCTCACCAAATTACAACCAAGACCACATTACGCAAAATGCAGCCCATAGCCCAGCCCGGCCCAGAATCAGTCACTGTGGGCACCAGGTAATGACATCACATAGCATAGCCCGGCTTCCTCTCCCTAGCGACTAGCCTCCTTGCAGTTTCTTCAGCCTAGAAACACGACTTGCTTTATAGTCAGGTGCAAAAATTTCATGCTTTAACCACATGTCTGTGAAGCATTTTGCCATGCCTCATCTCATTTGATCCTCACAGAAGTCCTGGAGTAGGTACATAGGAGACTCAGTGGAATCCTGTTTTCTTTTAATTAGCTAGCAAACAAAAATTTAGAAAGTTTAGAAACTTGACCCGACTGAAAAGAAGTAAAAATGGTGGACCTTGAAAATGACTGCAGGTTTTCTCACTGTGCAGAACATATATAAATTTTTTCGCAGTTAAATATTTTACCCTTTGTTCTCCCTGTGTGATCTACAATAATAATCTGCTTCGTGTTGGTATTTACTGCCGTGTTGCTGACAATTACCTGAAAGAGAAGTTGGGGTGCTTCACTAGGCTGGAAACAGTTTATGGTTGACACTTCCATTATAGAAAAAGGGAGTATAGTGATATTAAAATATTTCTTCTAATTAATTTCCTTTCAATGTGCATGAATCTGTGCACCAGGCCACTAGTGTTCTATAAAGAATGTTGTACATGCACAAGCTCTCATTGCAAAATAAACATGTTTCAGAAAAATCATGTCATAGTCTTACATGATCTGTAGACCATGTCCTAGAATTCTTCTGTTCAACTGCACAGTTAATGATGGAAATAAACTAAATTTGAAAGCTTGTTAACTCAAACCTGCATTAATTAGTTGCAGACAAATTTACATTTCATTCACTGATTTTTTGTTCTCTTGATAACACACTTCTATATTTTGCAATTATCCATATAATTTCTCTATTTGAGCAGATGGTTCAAACTTTATATACTTTTATTGAGTGATCACAAATCATATTAAGTGTTTATTTAAATAAATTTTCTTGTAGATTCCATATGAAAGAATATAGCTCACTATGCACAAAAGCAGAATCTTTGAAGGCATCAAACACAGTGCTAAGTATAATTTTTATTCATTCACACCAGACATCTATCATGTTGGCTGTTGTCTTTATTTTGACAATCTAATAAAAAAGAGATCAGTGCCCCTGACTAAATAGTCAGGTATTGCATGTTTTAAAAATTCTTGTGGCACACATGTTGAAAATCATTGCTCTAGGGAAACACCATTCTTTTCTTCCTCCAGTCTGGGATTTAGCAGGCCTGTGGAGATGATACGGTGAGGTAAGATGAAGTGTGATAAGGCTGAGTTTGGATCCCGTGGATCCTCACTTCTAAAGGGCTTTCCTTTTGGGGGCACGTCTACCTCTTTCTTGTATTGCTTGTTTCTAGAACTCATCTTGATTACTAGGCTTCTTTCTCAGGTTCTTTTCTCTCAATAGTAGAATCAGACACATGCCCCCGCCTTTTCCTGCATTCCTTTCTATTCCTGGTATAATCTGCCTATCTGACAATCTCTGATGTCTCCCTAAATCAAGAATCTTACAGTTGTAAGTAACATTATGAAAAATAAGCCCCAAACCTCAAACCGATGTAATGCACTTCAAGTCCACTTAGTAGAAACGCCCTAGGGTAGGGGAAAAGGGAACGGCAACACTGCTCCTCCGCCATCCTCAGTGCTTCTGCCCTCCTCTTGGTGTCCGCTTTGTTGCAGGTTGGCTGCCCTCAAGCTTGCAGGACGGCAACAGGCTGCAGGGGCTGCAGACTTCCTCGGGGAGAAGGTAACCCACACACATCAATTCAAATTGTTTCGCTTCACTCTACTGGGGCCCCAGGAAAAATACCACAGTCTCTTTGGCTTGTGTCTGGGTTACCAAAACCAACTTGTAGCAAGGTAGGGAGGAGGGGGTCATGCTGACTGATTTACACCAATCAGGGTCTACCCCTGGACCTGGAGATGGGATCAGTCCCTCCCAGATTACAAGGGGGGGGGGGGCGCA